GAGGGTGCGGTAGCGAGGTTTTCTCTGAAAGGGACTTACTGTAAGTCACCGACACTTTATCGGCTACTAGATTAATGCCGTATGGTCCAAGGCCCGCTACTGAGAGCTGAACAGTTTATGCGCCTCTGGGCTTTGCGCGTTTCCCGTCCCCGCACTTGCGTCACGCATGTTGCGTGCATTTCTACTCACTCATTTTCTCCGGAACCCTTCTCGAACTCGGCAAAGCTTTTCTCGATGCCTGCCCACCCTCAATGAGGGTCTCTCGTCACTGTACTGCGTTAAATTCGTTCCTGCACGGCAGTGACTTGTTGATTTCTTCGGAGCCATGCTTCAACCGGGCCGCCTCATAGTCATGATCGCTCTCGCGGTTATCTGCACGAAGGCGAAGCCGCCTCCACCGGGCGGAAAATACTTCAACCAGGTCGTCCCAAACAGTGTGTGTGTCGAGAGCGACTGGGTCAACGATCCGAGCCGTCCAGCGGAGGACGTGGCTCTGCTGCTCCTTTGCGATGGACGTCGAGTTGATTCGGTTGCTATGGAAGTGCAGTCCAAGGCATACAACATCTTCGAGATCGCTCCAGGTAGTCAGGAGGAGTACGAGGATTTCTTGCATGTTGCCGAACAGAATTGCCCGTCATATGCTGTGAATGATGGTGATCTGCATGAGTTCACTTATGACGAGAAAGCGAACACCATCGCAGTCAAGCTACATGGTGGAGTCGTGACTCTGAACAGCGGCACCTGTCCCTAACCGTTTGATTGCTATGAAGACGAGTGGCAGTAACACCAACGAAATCCCTCCTCTACCGAGCTGGTTATCAGTTGCTGCTCTCACCTTGGTGGAGACTTACGCATTATTCGACTTTATATGAGAGAGCCCGAGGAACCTCATCGCCGTGAGTATAAGATGCCTCGTGATGTAGTCAGTCCTGACCGTGATGGCTCATCATGGAACCTGGGGCTCTCGTGCTGAAGCTTGCTATGCTTCCTTGTAGCGCGGTCATGCCTACTTCGCTGACGCTTCACGTCTTCGGCCGTACATGGCCGTTATTTCATTTGCAGAAAGGCTTCCATTCGATGGCCGACACTTTCTCATCTGCTAACCTGTTGAGTTGTCGTAACTTTCTTTTGGAAAGGGGGCAAAACAATGAGTATGACTCTTCGCAAAATGAGAAATTTCAGTCACTACTCCTCCAGACTCTGGAGTCCAGAGTATCACCACAATGTATTGAATACAGCGATACACCTATCAAATCCATGCAGATGAGTTACAGTACGTCGCCAAAAAGCAAGGGTGACCCTCTGACTGACGCACGGCCCTTCCTCGGCTTATTTTCGGACTGGTCAGATCGTGCTGCTAAAAGTTACTCGGCGAGCCGTGGACAGAACTATTTGAAGCGGTGAATTAGGAAGAGTTTTCGCATTGTTAGCCGTGCCAGCCCCGAGTAGCTCATTGACTTCATTTCATAACATAACTCCCCAGCTATAGATAACCCATCATTGATGTGATTAGTGAATCACTCATGCTCGTGTTTTAAAGATCGCGCTCGGATGAATCATCCTGTGTACCTGATCCGTCCGCGATTCGGACCTCGAAAACAGAACGTAGTAGTAATAGAGAACTCATGCTTGGTCCAGTGGAGGTTCACCGCCGGTGAATCACCGGCAGAACGTGTAAAAACAGTTTTTCGGAACTTGCAACTCGGAGCAGGCGTGGTCGTAGAGCTTCGCGTTATAACGGTGAAAAGGCATTTCGCACTCCGGTCAAGAAGACTGATCAATCGACTGAATTCCGCGTTAGTAACGCGGCGTTACGGATGGCTGGAAAAATTCACTCATGCTGACTCCCGCTACGATATTTTTGTAAGGGAGCGTTGCGACGTCCGCTGTCACGTTTGCCTACCGCAGGGTCTCCGCTCTTCTCCTCTGAACTTCTCCGCTCCTCCTCGTTCAAAAGGGTCTTCCTTTTGAACTTCTCACGTGAGCCGCGAGTGTGTTCTTCAGAATTCACCACTGGGAAGCGGGAAACTGAACCTGAAATGAAATGATGGCCTTTCTTATCGAGTCCTTGGCCATCGAAGCATTTGTGGCGATTAAAGTGACGCAGTCGAAAAAACGTGAAACATCTGAGTTTTCTCGGTGAATCACCGACGGTGATGCTTGATAAGGGGTGAGACGGCGGATACAACTTGACGTTGACTGTTGCATGACGCTCCCACCTGTTGTTCCGTAGTTCTTCCCACCAGCGAAATACTTGTATCGTGGCCAGACATATCCACCAAACTGAGCTTGGTTCCCACAAGCCACCGCCCGCTGCCTTCCACAGCCATAGGCTTTCACGGCCTGAGCTCGAAGCTTGACTAAGTCAAGTTGACTTGGAAAAGACGAAAACAAGACGTCTTTTCAAGTGGAAGAACCGAATGTAGGCTTTGTTTTGTCCATGGTGGGCTCAAGTTACAGGATGCAGGGTGGCCCAAAACTGGGAAGAATGGATCATTCTTCCTCTTCCCGGGAACTTCCGGGAATTTCCGGGAATTCCCGGGAATATAGCCGGGAAGAAAGATTGCATTCTTCCCCATTAAAGCAAGCCCCCCGAATTTTTTTCGCGCGCATATCCGCCTTTCCTGGCTGCTCCGTCAAGCGGAAACATCGAAATGAAGCACCTAAATACCCAGAAAGAATCACGACTATTCTTCCAGGGAATATTGAGTATTCTTTCTTCCCGGGAATTCCCGGAATTCCCGATAAGAAAGAATAGCATTCTTTCCCGCTGGGCCACCCTGACAGGATGGACAGTTCGGAGAAAGCTTTTCCGGGAAACAACAATAAAATTTATCAATTGCTTCGGGTGATAAGAAGATTTTTTTCACTAGCAAATCGAGAGATTTACCTCTTTCAAGACGCTGTCATAACTAAGATCTCTCTCCATCCTCCGCACGTACTCCTCTTTACGACCACGGAGCTCGTCCGATGTGGAAAGAATTGGATCTGTTTTATTGCGCATCTGAACCGACAACGGTCGTGAGCGACGGTGCTTAAAGGTCTATTTGCGAATTGCAGAAGATGGTGTTTATTAAAGTGGCTGCCGGTAATCTGCTAGTCATCCGGACGACCAGGGAAGCTGCTAGTCACGCGAGCTCCAGCTTACGTCGAATAACTTGTTCATCCGGTAGCCGTTGAAATGCTCGCATTTGTGTTGGGTGACGTTATACGGGCGTGAGAAAAATCGATAGGTCTCTTCGAAGTCACTGGGGAAACCGTGACAAAGTTCCCTGGTTTCTCCACTAATGAATTCACTCACTCTCTCTCTTTGCGGGCAGCAATTTCCGCCTCGGTGAAGCCTTCGTATCGCGACGGCAGCGCGAACTTTCCAGGCGGTTTCTGGAGACGATAAGCAGTAACGGCTGATAAAGCTGCGATAACCCGAAGTCACTTGAGAATCAGCAATCAATCGCTGTGGCTTACTTGTCGCTTCTGAATGGCTGCCTCCGGAACGACGACAGAGCCAGCTGGGACCATCCGCGTGTACGTGACGTACCTAGCTTTCCAGCTCAAAACTACTTCGAGATTAGGAGCTGAAAGCTGCTATCAATGGTTGACACAGAGACCGATCACCGTGTTGGCACGTTGCGCGAGTTCAAAAAAATGCAGCCCTCTTCGCACCGAACCACCATACTCGGAGTCCGAATATTATGGTTCCGAATTTCCGACCGTCCGAATATTTTCGTTCTGTGGAGCTCTCACACCGGCGAGCTTCTATTACTGCTGGCTAAGTCCTGTGGTAGTGAGAAACATGCATCCCTGCACGTTCCAAACCGTTGGACAGCACGGCGTTACCCGATGGACATGGACCCGTCGATCCGAGGTGATTGATACATAAGCCACTGGCATTCCCAGTCTGGCCTGTGGAATTCACATTATGGTGAACTTGAGCGAATCCAAGAAAGAAGTGTTGCGAAATTGTCTGTGAGCAGTGTAATACAATTGCGATTGAGCATGATTGAATTGAAGCCTTACTTAACAACATCCACATCATCCGCATTTCCATGATCGATTTGTCGCAATGGCTCCAGCCGCATCCCAGTGGTCTGAGGAGTTCATCATTGCTGCCATCCGTGAGAATGATATTACTCACCGGAGTTCTCATGTTCTCGAGGTGTCTCCGTTCTTTCTCTACAATAGCCTTCCACAACGTCTGAGCTCTGATGGGGTTGAATTTCCTGACGTTGTCGGTAATCGCTCCGCGTGGAAACTAGGAAGTGAACTCACTTGCTAACCCCTGGCAGGAAATCCCTGTTGCCAGACCCGCCCAGAGTGCCCTTAGTTTTACTGGCGTCGTCTGATGCTGCCATACTCTTAGTTAAACGGCAACCCTATGAGGTGGATTCCCTCATCGTCCTCGAGTCCGGTCCGATTTTTTTCGTGAGACTGATAAACTATCAGTGTGGCAGTATTATCAATGATAATACTGCCAGACTATCAGCGGAGTTGATACATGATGGTTATCTATGAGGATCCTGCGAAACGTAGTTGCTATCTAGGTTTCATAAAATACTTGGAGCCTAGGGGTGGCACTGGTAAGGGTCTTCACGACTAGACTAGTTGATGCTACTAGTGATGCACAACTAGTTGAACTAGCTGAGGCTGAAGCTAGAGTCAAGCTACTTGACGACTTCCAGTCTGGAAGTTCCAGAAAAGAACCATCCATTCTGAACCATTCTAGTCATTCTATAATAGAATTTCTATTCTACATCCATTCTAAACCCCGAATTATCCGAACTTGAAGGAGTGGGAGTCACAATGGCTCCAGTTTCCGCAAGTTCAGGGTCCGCTTCAGATTTCAGTAGCCGCTCCCTGCACGGCGTATCGGAGTGCGATGAAGTCTATGCTCTTAGTAACTTTTACCGCTAGTTCAACGGGTCATTTTCTAGCGCAAGGCTTCGTCGTATGGGGCCACCCTCCCGAGGCAGGCTACAAATGGGTTCCGAATTGTCAAACATGGAGAACTATGGGATTCGAACCCACGCGGGTCTGGACCAGTGGATAATAAGTCCACCCCCTTAACCACTCGGGCAAACACTCTCTCAACGTCTCTCCGACTGAGACACTCTGCGACAGATGGACGTGGACTTCCGCGAGCAACAGCGAGTAATATCTGCTCGACTTCGAAATTTCCAATCGTCGGGGACAATTTTGGGCGAGCGAGATTTAAATGCGCTGTCGCAGCGAAACTGGAATATTGAAACTTCTGTTACGGCGCGACTGAGCTAGTTCTGGGAACAATCTCCGGACGGGCGCTAATTTTTCTCTCATCGGCGCTAAACTTCCTCTGCTTGACGCTATTTCTCACATTGGCGCTATTCTTTCTAATGTTGGGCAATTCCATTTTTATGAGGACTTCCGGTACCCTGAGGATAGCTTAGGAGCTCGCCTTACACTACTGACCTCTCACACTGCGCGGCCTTCGGGTTTTGGGTGAAGGTCGCCCGGAGGGCGACCTGAGTCGGGTTTCGGGTTGACGGGGGTTACGGTCCGCACTCCCCTAGGTCTTGGTCTTCTTTTTTAACGCCAACCAGCCTTACAGCCGAGCTACGAACACGCTCGCTCTACAGCCGTGTTAACTTACTAGACTTCCTTACGTTTATATACGAGGCCGAAGAAATTAGCGCCAATGTGAGAAAGACTAGCGCCTAGCAGAGAAAGTTTATCGCCGATGAGAGAAAAATTAGCGCCCGTCCGGAGTACCTGCCCTAGTTCTGAAACTGAACCATACATCGGCTCTGTAGTTGAGTTTTACGGCGCTAAAATGAGTTCAAAATCTCAGAATTGGTTTATGAAACACTCCCGAAGTCTTGGCTCTTTCAACAATTTCCGCTGAGAACGGATACGAGTTTCGATCACATCACATTTCAGCACGCGCAGATGATCGACAGATCAAGATGCAACGGATGCAACTGAGTAAAGCCGGTTTTCTGAGGGAAAAGTGTGAGGCGTGAGGATGGGTGTCTCACACCCGCCTTGGATTGAAGTATTGTGACTTCACATGGCAGTAGAATAAGCGTGTTCGTAGCTCGGCTGTTCCGCGTTGAAAAAGTTGACCAAGACCCAGTGGAGTGCGGACCGTAACCCCCGTCAACCCGAGACCCGACTCATGTCGCCCTTCAGGCGACCTTCACCAAAAACCCAAAGACCGCGCAGTGTAAGGGGTCAGTAGTGTCGGGCGAGCTCCAAAGGCATCCTCAGGATACCGGAAAACCTACAAAAACCTCAGAAAATGGATCTACTCGATGCGACTCGATAGACCAAGATGTTGCCTTTTCCGCTTAGATTTCGGCAAGAACGTGCGTATGATGATTAAGCTGGCTGGGAAACCAAAAGTTTCAGGCCAAAAAATAAATAAGTCTGAAATTTAGGGACAGATTTTGAGAGTTTAGTGAGAGACCCTGTTTGTTCCCCTCCCCAGGGTGCTCCTCTCTACACCCTCCTGCCGTTGCCATAGTGGGGGACCTTGCCAAGCGTCGCCCTAAGGGTTGGCAATGGTGATGGCACCAGACGTTGGGGACGTCTTCGCCTTCTCCACGAGCTTTCGGCGATGGGCATCATGATCTGATACCGATCCGCGTGCTTCTAGTAATACATAGTTGGCGCTTATAAATGCTATATCCGGGAAGACATTGACCTCTTCTATGACAAGATCAGCGAGAGTGTTCAGTTGGAGCTGCTCCAAGGCTCAGGACCGACCCCGGGACTCCTTTGGAAAGTCAATCCCAAAGTTCAGAGCCAGTTGGCGGGCCAACACCAATTCCTTCTGGTTGATGTTCTACAAGCCTAGAAATGTTGCGTTACTTCAGTCTGTCAGCAACTGCGAAACGGTGATTCATAAGACACATTCTGAATCTCGCAGTACTTGGTGAGAATGTCAGAGGTGCCCTTCGAGCCCGTTAACCGTCCCTACGCCCCGATGTTCGACATGATGCCGTCGGGTGGCGGATCGGTATCAGCTAGCAGCTCGGTATCCTCCTCCGACTTATACACGGGGGGTACTCTGGACAGCAGTATTGACAACCCTACCAGACGGCTGTGGCAGAGCTCGGATTCGACAGGGCTCGGGGGAGCCTTTCAAAGGGTAGTAGTAGCAAGACTTCTCAATGGTTCAAAGTTGGTTAAGGAAGCGGTTCGTGGTGGTGCATGGAAGCGCGATCGGAGCGATGCTATGAACTGAGCGCATGGGAACAAAACGGTTTTTCGAGGACCGCACGCCCCCTGATGGGTATAAAAGCTTACTGACTGATTGAGTAGCAGTGGTCGTGATGGTAGTTGATCCGCAGGAGCGTCGGCGGAAGAGTGTTGAGAAAATTTGCAGATTTTAGCTTATGGTCCAATAACAATATGCTTACTTTCAATGAGAGCGAAACTGCGATAGTCAAAGACTGCCAGACGGTTGCGGGGACTTGAAGGGGAGGTTGGGTTTAGATTACTAGGAGTTCCGGAAAAGTTGGTATTGAGTTACATCATCGTGTGCTAGAATTGAGACTTCTTTGGCATACGTATCTTGCCGGTTGTCGCTGTTCAGGTGAGCGACATCGAGAAGTTCTTGGCCGCCGTGTATAATTATTATCGTGGTGGCGGCTTCTATGGTATCTTAGGTTACACCATGTAATAGACGGGTTCCGCTCTTAGTTCGTCGTGTGCACTCAAACGCCATGGTCATTTTCGTAGCGCCTGAAAGTGTTAGAGGGCGCCGTTTCGGAGTCGGGCGAGCGGCCCCGCCAGTGTTTGTTTTTTATGTGGTTTCTCAGAGGTAACCTGCTTGCGGTCCTGTTTACCATCACCTTCGCTTTCACGCTCACCTTCCTGGTGGATTGGAGCTCGCTGTTATCATGTAGTATGGCGAGAAGGGTGTCACTCTGCTTGGGTTCGTCAGTGTCAATTTGGCGGATTGGTTAACCTTCTCGACTCATCATCGGTTGGTCGTGGGATCGAGCCGTGCTTTCGCTATTTTGACGTCAACCCTTAGTGAGGTGTACACGTAGGTACCAGCCCTGAGACTTGTGCCAACGCTCATCTCTTCAAAAGCAACCCACTGGCTGGCCTGAGCTTCGTCAGGTTCGTCTTTCTCATGTAATAATTGACGGTCGAGGACACCCACTGGGAGTTGAGGCAAAGGAGGCTGCCTTCTTCAAGAAGGCGAGGGGCGTTTCCGTGATGTCACAGGAATTCTGATATCTTCGTACTTTCCAATAGGGTTCGGCAGGGTCGAATTTAAAAGGGCTCGGGAATGCTCGAAGATGTAACTAAATTCGTTTCGGAGAGGTTGAGTACGGCTAGAAATGACACGGACTCTTTCCACGCGGAATCTAATCTTCCCTTGTCTGTGCTCAGATCATTCCTAATGACCCTTGCCTTCTGGGGCCTGGCCGCAGCGGGAGCGTTCATGACCATTCGCGAGGCTAGAGATGCGGCATTTTACTACCAGGATTATCTAGGAGTAGTAGTGGGGGACAGTGTTGTAGCGTGATGGGAGAGCGGGTTGCAATGATCAGCCCTTCGCACTTCGACATGCAAAATAATAGCGCGAAACTTCCCTCTTAAGATACAGTGTACGAAAGAAATGCGACATAGTGAGGCCACTATGCCGCAATGTGGGCCTCGACTGGGGTTTGAGGCAGCGCCTACCTACTCGGCGCTTTGAAAGTTGATCCGCTATTCTCGCCCCAACAATTGGCGTAGGGGCCTCATTTTCGTTGCATGTTGCATTTTTCCACAACGATCTTTTTGACGAGAAATGCCGGGTCGGGGATTCCAGCTGTGGAACTCACTAGTGCTCTGGATGCTTCAGTCATTAATGCACTATGTTTCTTCTCTGAAATATCTTCGCCAAGGGAGCTCAGCCACTCCGTCTCAAAGATCTTTTGATCCATTATGTGATCACGATTTTCTTCGCTGTGCGCATTTAGATACCCTTGGATTCGGACAAGGTATCTTTCTCTCCGCTACAAGCAGTATCTTGGGCGGAGGTCGCCAGAAGACTCGTGCGACTCCAGAATGGCCCAAGTCGGCCGGAAGACGCGACAATGGATGAATCTTGGACGGGACAACAAACCTGGTGTATGTTGCAGGTAGTAGGAGGTCACAGTCACTGCGCAAAAATTTCCGGAATTTCGAAAAAAAAACTGAAATTCCTTAACTTTTCGGGCTCATCGCCAGCGAAGCGAGGTTCGGGTTCGCTAGAAGTGAAGGTGAGATGATGTTGGATAACTTGCCGCATTTGAGGGTGTGGATGAAAATTTTGTGTAGTATCTCTGGAGGAAGAAAAAAATTTTTTGGAATTTGAAAATATTTTTTTTCAATTTCGAGTCCTAATGTAATGTTGATATTCCGAAAATCACTGCGTTGAAGTCCGTACGACTCTCGCGTTCTTGCCGAGTGGCGTGCCTCGACTATGGAAGCTGACAGGCACGTATATCGATGGTTGAGATGACGAACCTTCTCATGAGGGATTCATCATACGCGTTGCTCCTGCAGGGTGAGGAGTCACCACTCCTCCAGATGGTAATAGGTGGAGTAAATGCGGCAAATATTCTCGTGAAGATCGAATACTGAATTGACGGTTTGTGAGAGTATGTACTTTCTTCTTGTCGTGGGTATAGTCGTAAGTAGATTGGGCTCTACTGCAGATAGGAAGTAGAGTAGTTGAGAGAATGAGAGTTAGTAATGCGAAGCTAGTATGAGCGCAGCTCGATTGTGTTATGTAGACAGTGCGAGTATATTAGGTAGGGCAAATATTCGCTCGGTTGGGGCGTGTTCTGATCACCGTCGTATTTTCCTCACGCTGACGCCCATCCTGTGTTACTGCCACGTGGCTCTGACTTTCAAGGACCGGAAAAAATTTGGGGTTTTTGAGAATCACCGTTTGGGTCGTATCTTCTTTGTTGCTTTTCAGATTCCTGCGTGGGTTCCTCTGTCCTCTCATTTCGTTGCGTCCAATGCTGTGAATTGGATAATAAAGACTTTGATCTTGCCGTGCCTGTTGGACGAGGTGGGACGATGCTGTTCGTTTTTTGCTGATATTTTTCAAACGG